CCCAGGAGAGTGATCCTTATATGTATATCCCATCCCTACTTAGCACGAGACCTTTTGGGAGCTCACTGGCTTCGGATTCTGTAGGAACTCCGAAGTTAAGCGAGAAGGGGGTTAGAGCAATCCCATGATGGGTGACCCACTGAGAAGTTGCTCGTGAGTTCCCAAAAACAAAATCGTGAGGGAATGGTAAGCCCAAAGCGGACAATATCGTGCTACGGTGGTGGATGGGCTCGGGAAGTGATCCGCCCCGGGTTGGGATGTGACAATCCTAATTGAATACCCTTAGATTCATTAAAAAAATTAAAATCCCTCAAAATCTCAATTGAATACACTAATTAGAAGCATTATATTTAGGGTTTATAGTACCAGAATCTACTAGATAAATTTTAGGGTTTTTATATGTGTGGAAGTGTGCTTGCCAGAATGGCACCTCAAGAATTTCAATTTTAACCCCCAATTATTTAGGCATGTACAATTTTTTTTGATAAACGATAGCATTAGTGAGTTAAATAGTTAGTTGTCAGGGAAGAGAAAAATCGGTGAAAATCGCACTCACACCATTATACATAAACATGATTGATTTTCGTCAATGTTGTAGAACGTCAAATGCATAATGATTTAGCCTTTCACAAGGTTTTGTGGGATGAATTTAGGGTTTCTTTCGTGAGGGCCACCAGCTTTTAACCTAAGGGGATGGACCGTTTTCAATTTATTCAAATAAAAGTTGAAATAATATAGTACTGCATGCTTACTGTGGGGTGAAAGCCGAAAGGGCAATTGTTTGCATGCTTCAAAGTTGCAGTATGACAGCAACAACTTACCTTCTTAGCTTGGGTCGTTACTGTTCGATTAGAATTTAGAGAGGCAACAAGATTTGAAATATACAATACTATTGAGCTTTCCTTTCAATTACCCACTTTTCAAAGGCTCCATAAAGTCAAAAAGCTCATTTGTTTGTATATTTCGTTCGAATTTGTCTGCTTTCTATTTTAATTAAAAGCAGTTTTTGACCTACTAAACATCATTAAAACCCTAAATTTATCTAATACTGAAATCATCTTGTTCGTTTCTTCCTAAAACCGTATCTTTAGCAAATCATAATTAACGTCAGAATTTCTAAAAATATATATACAACCATTTAATAAATGAATTAGGATTCTCAGCTTGAATCGATAGAATTTTAACATAAGAAGAGATACTTGCTCAAATCTCATTTTGCATGGTTATAATTTGAAAGTTCGAACATGTACATAATAAAAAAGCAAGCTAACAAGACCGCGAATTCATCGTGTTCTTAGCAGCTAGCTAGCGAGTACATGCATGCATGCATGCTCTGCAATTTATACATCAAGTCATTCATAAGAGTTGAAGCCTAATATCTCACACTTTTATATGAAAAATGATACCACCAGAATGTAGTATTAGTAGCTTTATATTTTGCGGACATATGAAATATAACGAATTCCAGATACGTATTCCACATGACTCGTCTTGAGTTCGATTCTTGGCGTATGATGGCAGTAAGAAAAAAGCTGAAATACCTCTATGAATCTTTCCAGTCACCCAAAGAATTCACTACCTTAATTTGACCACCAACTGCTGGTTAATTTTTCTTAAAAACAAACTGGGTTTGAATGGGACATAGCTAACATATATACTTAAGAAGAGAATTCACAGAATCTCAACAACCGACATCTTTATTTGGTCAGCTTAATACAACTACTTAATTCTCAGCAAAACTACTAAAAAACGTAATCTTTGGTGGCTGAAATTACTATCCTTAAATCTACTGCTATTCTATGATCCATATCTATCAACCTAGCTGCCGTCTTCACTCTACCTTTTTTTATAGTAGTCCGAAGCTTTTTAGTTCATTTGGATATGTTTGAACGCCAAGCTTTACCCGACTGATTTTGCTCGACGAATATTCATAGCGCAAAACTATAAGCAACGAAACCTTTTTAGTCTGATAGAATATTTTCGTCTGGTTTTTGTTGTTGTGGATGTATAATAATGCCAAGTGTCTCTCCCATTTCGCATGCTTACACCTTAAGGAAAAGGATCTTCGCTGGATCTTTTTCTTGGAGATCCGAAGGATCCCGTGATCGTGTCTGTTCATCATACATCGTAAGGTTAGAAATCATTTGAAATTTAAAATTTAAAATTTAAATATAAATAATACCTAACAAAAACTGACCGCACGATGTACGATGAACGGATACGATCACGGGATCCCCTGAATCCCGAGAAAAAGGAACCGGCGATGATCCTTTTCCACACCTTAATTTCGTGGGGTTAACACCCCTAATTAAAAAAGGTCCCTAATTGCAGCATAATTAGTTTGACTTTCCTACTTAAGGTGCTAATTGACTTTAGTTAGTTGAAATGCAAAAAAGATTAGCATTGAATAAACTAAGAAAAATTAGTCACCAAACATCAAACATATATCTTGCAATGACCCGATTTATCCTTCAACTTTTTAATATATTAATTAACTTATGATGTGAACATCTTGTTTCATCTTGTTTAATTAATCTCTATTACAAGTCTTCCTCAAGAATTTGTCAACATTGTCGGTCATTGACAATCTCTGTATATACAGAGACTGCTCAATGGATGTGATTTACGTTTTGACGTTTTGATCTTTCATACGTATATAGGGGACCATAGTCGTACTCCTTGTAGTCCCTTTCCCTAGCAAGGAAGGCTTCATATATATCCCACTTTTTAGGCATGCATCAAGGTTCGGCTACAATATTACATTCATTTAATAGTATGAGTATTATGTAATATCCAACCGTTAATAGAAATTTATCAAATTTTTATAAACAAAATTTAACCATTGATTTTTTGAGTTACTAAGTGATACGATAAAAAATTGGAAAACTAGTATATAAGTAATTTTTTGTGTATACCTCCCCTAGGCAACCCTACATCTTCTCCATCGATTGAGATTCGTTCCGGATCTCTATGTCTGAAACCAGCAAACCGAGAGATCCAAACCACTCGATTTCAGTTTTACGGCCTTCATTAGTCTATCTCACTAACCTACTTCACATATATTCAAAAACTTGAACGGCCTAAATCTCTCTCTTTTGAATGGTCCGAATTTCTTATATGCAGACTCTGGACACATAAATCTAAAGTGGATATCATTCACTTCTCCACGAAACCCACTTCGAAATTGACCAATCACAAAAAATCGTTGTCACATTTTTGTTTGGTTTCATAACTTACTTATTATTGCACGTGTAAGTAACCCTAATAAAAATATTAAGATGTCCCACGGAAACGAAGCACAAATAGGGACAACTTCTCTCTGTTGGATCGTGCAAATGGATTGTGTTTGGAGTCTTTAATTTGGACCACGGCACTCCACCAACGTTGTGTAAATTCTTCCTTTGCCATGGCCACTCCACTTCCACTGTCGGTTTGAAAACTTTTCTTCATGAGTTTAAATTATTTTTCCCTTTAATTCATGGAAACAAAATTGGATCAAGTTTGTCCATGATCATTTGGTTTAGGTTCAAATTCCAATCCTTTTTTTTTGGTGAATGAGAATTGTATTCCAAATCGGTTCCAAATTATCTCAGAATTTCAATATATAATACTTGGCTGCTAAAAGAAGAGCAACAAGTCTTGCTAGAAAAACCGATTGAAAATATACACGATTCCATTTGTGTGGAATGATGTTGGTTTAAGTTTTCAATTCTTTATTTGTTTGATCACGTGTCCATTTTGTTTAATTCATCATAACTTACTACTCTTCTTTCAGCAACCAACCATTATCAATTTCAATTTTGGAAAACTTTGAACTCATTGTTAAAACCTTGAATATGCCAACAATTTGAAAGGTCAAAACTGAAAACTCATACTGAAAGGGTAAGGGGCAGTCTAAAAATTAAAGTAATTACCAAACAATATTTCATTTTTCAGTTGTAAAAAATGCGAAGAAAAAAAGACTGAAAATGAAATGGTTATCAAATGGCCCCTAAAAAAACTATTATATATGTACTAACCTGTGAGCAATACAGTCGATCATAAGAGAAGAGTAAGTGGAATTTCGCTTTTGAAAGAATTCTTTCAATGTGAAGTCCATCATTATAGTTAATTCACGCTTGAAAAGCTAATGTATTTTAAAATTTTTGCACTTTAAAAATACTTTACATTATGTTTGGATAAAAGAAATAAACTTGAAATTTGGATAAAAGTCAAAATTTATAAATTGACATGCACCAATTCCCTTGTTTGGATTCATAAACATAGAAATTTAGAATTTCCGTGTGAAAAAAAAAAACTTGGAATTTGGGACCTTCAATTCCAAAGTTTAAATTTCATGTAAATAAGTGTCATTTCCCTATTTCTATGATTGAGAGTTTAAAAATAATAAATTCTGTATTCAATTCCATTGTTCTTTTAAGTTAACCAAACAAGAAAATTCATAAACTCTAGAAAATAAAATCTCGTCATTTCAATTCTTGTTATTTTAAAATTCCTTAGTAATCTTAAATTTCTTCATCCAAACTTAATGTTAGTTACATTCCAATTTTGTTCCTTCTAATTTAGAAATTACTACATATGAATTAGTCAGAATCTGAAATTCAACTTGTATATTTAATGACACACAAAAATACTCATTTATTTATTTTGACGTAATAATAAAAAAGTACATGAATCATGATGACTATTTTGAGTACTAACAACGATTCCCAACAAACTTCTCTTTCTGTTTTCTTTATTTTTGGGCTAAACTTTCTCAGCTTGTCCATCACAGGCCCACATCACAACAGCCCATTAGGCTAAAATGTTCTAAACCCAAGCCCACTAGAACAGTATAACGGCCTCCCGCTCCTTGGGATCCTAAATGCCAAACAGACTGACTCCGTCCGCCACCCAATCCCACAGCACCACGTGTTCCCTCCCGATTGGTTCCCACACCAATACTCCCGCCATTATAAATCTCCATACGTAACTGCTCTCCGCTAACGTTTCGGATCAAATTCACGAGTCCTCTTCTTCCCCTTTCCCACCGAAAGCGAGAGATCGAAAGTTGGAGAAAATTTCAGAGAAAAATGGCGTCAGCTCAAATGCAGAGAGTCGTGGTTCCACCGCAGCAACCGATTGAGGCGCCGAAGAAGAACAGAATTCAGGTCTCCAACACCAAGAAACCGCTCTTCTTCTACGTCAATCTCGCTAAGGTATATTTTTATATTGTCTGATTAGCTTAGTTATTTGAGTATCGTGAGGAATGTATGATAAATTTTGTAGTAACACCAAGAGATTATTGAAATTTTACATCTTTTCCCCTCAGTTTCTATGTAATTGCTTCGGTGATTGATTGCGGTTTCGAGGAATTTTTGAGTGTGATGGTCATAGATGGTGTTGCTAAGTCATGTATTGACAATGTGTGTTGATTTGGTAATTGCATGGCTGCGTGATGATTACACAGAAAAACTTTTCATATTGTATGATTTTTTGTTTTGAAGTTATGGTAAGTCACGGCGTTGATAGTATGAGCGGTTTTAGTAATAGTAATACCACATGGATGTATGACAATCGCACCGGAAAACTTCATTTTCTTTGCTTTTCGAGGAAGTGCACGAAATTCGACTTAATATATAGTTTTTTGTGAGTTGTTATATGATTGGATGAATGCTGGCAAGATCTGTATTTCATGTTTACGTAGTTTTTTCTTTGATGCAGAGGTACATAGAGCAGCACAATGAGGTTGAGCTTTCTGCACTGGGAATGGGTAAATCTTTTCGGAATCATCTCTCAGTGTCTTTTTCGTATGTTCGGACAAATATCTATACTCTTGTTCGTATTGCTTACCAAAACCCTACTGCAATCGATATGAGTACAACCAAAGGTCAGTGATGGCGGTGTGACGCAAGTAGGGTGAAGATTTCGTGATGGACTCCCTACTTATTGTCAATTGAAGAACTAACACTTACCAGAAGCTCTAAACATTTTCTCACTGACGACGTTTTGAGTCTTCGAAGATTGAAAATTGTTTGACGATGAACTTTGAATGTCCTTCCTTGCCTTTTTTTGTCCTGCTAATTTCCCGCACTTGTGTTATTACAGCAATCACTACGGTTGTCACTATTGCTGAGATTTTGAAGAATAACGGATTGGCTATTGAGAAGAGTAAGAAATCTGCACTCATAATTCCAAAAAAAACTTGCAAAAAAAGTTATAGATGTGATTGATTTGGTTATCTTTGTTTGAGGGATTGAACAGAGGTGTCTACATCTACCGTTGGAATGAAAGACGAGATTAAGGGTCGCCTCATGCAGAAGGCTAAGGTTTGGTTTCTTTAGTCGAGCGATTTTAAGTTGATTGAACATTTAATATGAAGTTTCCGCCTAGCTTCTGATATCGTTTCTATTGTTTCTCCTTTTCTTTTCAACTTTAGATCGAGATTGTGCTGGGGAAGTCTGAAAAATTTGACGCTATAATGCAAATGAATGCTGCTGCACTTGCTCCAGAGTCAGTTGCGACCGAGGGAACAAAATGATAACGAAGGAGTAGAACTCATCCAACGACGGTTCATTGTTGTAGTTTAACATTCACATTCTTCCTCTACTCTCTGCCTGAATTGAGATAAGTACGATAGTATATAGATGAATTCCTTCTCGAATCTGTAAAATTTTCATCTGTTTTCGCACATAATGTCTATCGTTCAATGAAAAATTGGGAAGAAAATTTTATCGACCCTACTTCTTATATATCCTGCACGATCTTATTCTTCATGTACATACATAATACATAGATACATACACAGATGCATATTATATAGCAGCATATAGTAGACATTCTTCGTATTTCATTACATCGATAAGGTAATTACTACGAGATCACAGAATTTAGACAAAACTGCAGAAGAAGCTTTTTCGGTATGTTCTTTACTCGCATAAAGCGGAACGGACTCATAAATTTTGTTTGTCGTTTTGAATGGTCATATATGCAAATATTTGAAATGATAAAGCTCCAGATAACATTTTATATCTTGCATTCTCTGATTTGAAGAATTTAAATAGCGATCTCTAAGAATTTATCGAAAGCCTTTTCTTGTATCACTATACATTCATCGGAAGTTTGACAATGTCTTCGTATGACGGTCTTATTAGGTATGTTTAAATCTTTGATTTTTGGCTCTCTTTGTAATATTTTACTTGAGATTTGGATCAATCTGTGTTCTTTCATGCTCTCGTCGCGTTAGACTTTTTGGTAATCCGCAGTTTTTGGTAGATCTGCATTTGTCGACGGATCATCATTTGCCATTCGTTCTAACGAGCTTTATGCTTGAAGTCGGTAGCGTTGTTCATCGCTTTCTGAAATTTTACGATCACAACAGATTTCGATGCCATCTCTAATTTGTTACGTGTTCATGCCTGAACACGCCCTAAAATGTACGATCAATACAGTAAATTTCGATGTTATTTTCCACTTTGTTTCTGCGTGTTTCAGTATGTCGTTTGTCGCACAGTTAGGATTCTGGAAGAACAAGAAAGAGTGCTTGTTTTGCTTGTTGCTTCACATGTGTTTTTGACATTCAAGCAATGGAAAAAACACCACTTCTTTTTCTTATCGGCGTATTTGTTTATCGTACGAAGTAGGAATAAAGGATGGTGTGTAGAAGGAAAGAGGTTCTCAGGATCTTTAAACTGTATTCGTTCATCGTATATCGTGCGATCAGAAATTATTTTAAACACTTTTATTTAAAATTAAATATGAATAGTACTTAACAAAAACTTATTTCATAACATGATTTGAGGATCTGGAGAAGGTCCGCATTCGTGTAGAAGGACAAAACTTCGGTGTAGAAATCATTGTGTTTCTAAGATATGTGCTTATATTACAACATTTGTTTTTCCTTGAAAATCCTAGAATGTACTTTTTTGACTTAAAAAAACATTTTTAAGTATTCTGCCAAAGCGATTTTTTTTTATTATCTAAAATTGCTTTTAGTGATTTAAAAAAAAAAGAAACTAAATAAATTATTAACTATACATAGAGTAGTTATTCACCATATTTACTAAATCACGTGGCAATGCATGTATCAATATTTTACTAGTTAAAAAAAAACATAAATTCATGTTAGGATACGAGGGAATGAATTTGGTAGAGTTATGGTTAAATATATAAGAAAAATAATTAAATATTTTTCTTTTTTTTTTTTGGTTTTTAGGCAATTTAAAATTGACATAATTTTTTATTTTGGTCAGATTTGAAATCAAGATAAGTGGGTTTTATTTTTATTCCCTGTCAATCATTTTGATTATTCCGTCAAAATATTTGTTAAATAAAAACCAAAATAACAAAAATATTCTCAATTTAGACTATTTAGTAAATAATGAGACAAAATGATTTGACAAAAATTAAAAATAATTTTATCATTGTGATGATTGACGATGGACAAATTCAAAAACTAATTTTATCGATTTTAAATTTCAACAATAGAATTAGGAGTTTTTTTTTTAAATATTATAAAAAGATGAGAAAATACTTGGCAAATTGGTGGGTGTAAATAAAACATACTTCAGAACCACAGAAATCGAAATACCCCGACGCTGTCTCTCTCGCTCAAATCAAGAAAAATCACTCTCCCTCTCTTCTCTATTTTCTTCCACTGTGAATCTCTCTCTCTCTTTCGCTCTCTGTAAAACCCCTTCGAAACCCTAATCCAACTCTCGCCGTCCTCTCCGGCGATTCGCCCCTTTCAGTTTCAGATTACTCGGCTTCGCGCTGCCACTACCAGTTCTTCTCGCTACCCGTGTAATAATTTTTATTTTTGTTTTTTGCGTTTGTCTTTCTAATTTTTCTTGCAATTTTCTATGGTTTTGGTGCAGTATTTGCTTATATTTCTGTGTAAATTGCTGATATTGGCTCGTTATTGGGTTTTCTTTGTTTTGTGATTCTGTTATTCTAGGGCTTTTTTTGATTAAAAGAAGGGTTTTTGTTCTTCTAAATTAATGGTTCCGAACCGGTTTACGATTCGGGTTTGTTCATATTTTTGGCGATTTTTTGTTTCTGTTAGCTTAATTTTCTTGGTTTATTTTTGGTAATGCAGACAATTTATGGCTGAAGCTGATAAACTCTATGGGGAACTTGATGGAGGTGAAGTACCTGTGACCGTGGCTGAAATCAATGCCGAGATTGAGAATGCAGAGCCGCTGGTAGATGACCAGGCTACGGCACTAGACCCGGCTCCGGAGCTGACAGAGGCCGATGTACAGGGGTATGAACAAGAGCATGGAGTGACATTTGCACAAGAACAAGAAGATGCACTTGCACAGTTCCGGGCACAGGAGCAGGAAGAGGCACTGGCCCAGTTCCAGGCACAGGAGCAGGAAGAGGCACTGGCCCAGTTCCAGGCACAGGAGCAAGAAGAGGCACTGGCCCAGTTCCAGGCGCAGGAACAAGTAGAGTTACCGGTAGAATTGCAAGGGGAAGAGGCGCAATTATCTGAACAGAACCAAGAGCGTCACGAAGATGCTGCTGCCATTGGTGGAGGCGAGAAGAAGTGGCCTGGATGGCCCGGAGAGAGTGTTTTCCGGATGCTGGTTCCTGCGCAGAAGGTTGGCAGTATAATTGGACGGAAAGGAGAGTTCATTAAGAAAATAGTTGAGGAGACGAGAGCTCGCATTAAAATTCTTGATGGACCCCCAGGAACGACTGAAAGAGCCGTAAGTTTCTACTGACCTGTGTGACTGCGATTCAGTATTCTCTTTTAACCAATATTACGTATTTAGCTGCTTTTGGTCATGTGGTTTATGTCATTCTCTATAATATGTTTTCACCTTGAAATATTTGGGCATTATAGTTCCTATGGTCCTATGGTTTAGTTACTGGACTAAGTTTTACGTGAGAGTAAATATGCTATATCATAGTTGACGAAAGCTTCCTTGGTGGCTATAAATATTTGATTGTTGTTGAGAGTGCTTAATGCTTATTGTTTTTTGGTTTTCGCTCTACGTGACTATTATAGAGTGTCGCTTGCACCAGGTCTGCCAGTCATATGGTGATATATCATTGTTGAAATGACCTAGTGAAAGATGAATATGAAGTTCTTGACTTTTGACTATAATTGTTACTATGAAGATCAATGACCAATATGATCAGTTGGTATGTATGGACTTCGCCTTGTTGACTTTAAAAGCTATAGGTTGATATTGACAATTGATTTAATAATTACAGGAAAAAGTATACAATAATTGTCATTGAAGATGGTAAAATAGGTATGAGGCATACTGCATATGTTAGATCAACATACACATTAAACAAAATCTTGATTAGTCTGACACTCTGACTAGAAATATATTGTCTGTTTCATAAAAAAATTTAGGTTCTATTTATCTATTCGTATCCCAAAGTGGTGATCTTCTTAGCTGTGTAATTTGATATAGATCTTTTAGGAGAAAAAAAGTGCTATCCAAATGAAAAAAAATACTATATAAGCTTTTAGAAATATCTAGCCCTGTTATCTTGAAGAGTCTGAAAATCAATGAAATTATGGAAACTGTGTTGGGCAAATAATAACAAATGTGAGTCACCACTCTTAAGTATTCAACTCTAGAAGTATTTTTCTAAAAACGTTTAATCAAAGAAGACGTAAAAGAAGCGACATCACAAGAATCCACAAAATATGAATAAATCCATTTATTGTAATAACAACAATGAATGTGTGCAGGTTTTTCGTGCAAATTTTAAGGCAACGACTCAATCATCAATAAGATCCCACACTTGAAGAACCAAAGGTCCAGATGGAAGGGATCAGCATTGAGCATTACATTGTGCTGAAAAGTTGATCTGAATAAACACGTACACTATTTGAACATTTGTTCCACAAAGCTCTGCATTATCTCTGGTAACTTCAGAACCTGGATGATTGATGTCTTGCCGCAGATGGTGTACACCATAAACGAAATAATTAATACTCAAAAACGTGATTCTGAAGACTAATGATAAATTTTAAGTGGCTTATAAACTGTCCTACATATGTTTGAAGCAAAAAAGCAGTATAACTAACTACCGTCAATTGTCAGTATCAATCAATTAGTTGCACGTAATAGTGCTAAGCTGTTGTTTACCCCTAGCAACTTGTCAAAACTGTAGGCCATGATACTGTGGTGTGTAAAGATTATGAACATATTTGGTTGGAAGATCCTACATAGATATGCTCAGTGCATAGATATTTGGTTGGAAGATCCTACACAGATATGGTAGAATTATATTTGGTTGGAAGATCCTACATAGATATGTTCAATGCATACCTTTTGGTTTACAAAATGGTTTGATGTATCTGAAAGCTGTGTACAATTTTGCCCTTCCTTGTTACCATTTCACGTGGTCCTTTTTTTCAAGTTTTAGTTTTTACCTGTGTGAAAGAATTGTTGATTTGGTAAAGGCCAGTGTTTGTTATATGCTGATGGTGCTTTTTATTGCGTTGATTAGGTAATGGTTTCTGGTAAGGAGGAGCCTGATTCTTCTCTTCCCCCTGCAATGGATGGCCTTTTGAGGGTTCACACGCGTATTATTGATGGTTTGGATGGTGATTCATCTCATGCTCCACCGGGCACGGGTGGCAAAGTCTCTACAAAGCTGCTGGTTGCAGCTTCACAGGCAGGAAGCTTGATTGGGAAACAGGGAGGAACTGTTAAATCCATTCAAGAAGCATCTAACTGCATAGTTAGAGTTCTTGGATCAGGTAAGCTTCATTGTATTTTGAATCTCTTGTGCTTTACAGTTTGCCTAAGTACTTTGAAACATACACAAATATTTGAGCATCTTAGTGTGAGTTCTAAAGAAGTCAGTATGAGATTACGTAGCTGTGTGTCGTGTTAGATATAATTTTCTTCAGTATAACCAAATAAGTAAACCTTAAAAGTTCGTCTAGTGGTTATAAGAGAGATATTTAGTTGCAGTATTTACATAGTTCACAAACACCAAAAACTTAAAGTTTTTATAATTTTGCATTCCTATCTTCACCTGTGTGTTTGTTTAGTTCCTCTGCTCGATTGCCTGACTTCTTGTTGAATGATTTGGTGCAGAAGACCTACCGATTTTTGCTCTTCAAGATGACAGAGTGGTTGAAGTAGTGGGTGAAGCTGTTGGTGTGCACAAAGCAATTGAACTAATTGCATCTCATCTTAGGAAGTTTTTAGTTGACCGCAGTATAATTCCAATATTTGAAATGCATGTAAGTCTGGTTTGTCCTCTCAATTGCAATCGGTCAGCCCATCTCTTGACATTTGTGTTTGATGAAACACTTGATGATCAATATTTTGTATCAGATGCAAATGGCAAATCCTCAGATGGAACATGGGCCACCTCATCAAAATTGGGGTCCACCTCAAGGTCATCCCCACAATGCTGATCATGGGGGTCCTGGATTTGGGCCACCTAATCCCCAATACATGCCACCTCCTCGGCAACATGACAATTACTATCCACCAACTGACATGCCTCCACCAATGGAGAAACAGCCTCATCATGGTATATCAGCTTATGGAAGAGAAGCCCCAATGGGTGTCCACCAGTCATCAAATGCTCAAGCCGCACCAGGAATGGTAACACAGGTTATACTCATGTTCTTAAATCCATTTATAATTAAATTGGTGATCAAGTTCTTTCTCATAGTCCAAATATGTACATGATGATGATTTTTCTTATTTTTGCAGATCACCAAGCAATTGCAAATTCCGCTGTCATATGCTGATGCTGTTATTGGCACAGCTGGTGCAAGTATAAGCTATATTCGACGAGCTAGTGGGGCGACTGTTACGATACAAGAGACTAGGGGTGTACCTGGGGAGATGACTGTTGAAATCAGTGGAAGTGCTCCCGAAGTTCAAGCAGCTCAACAACTGATACAGGTAATTCTCCTTGTCCTTGCATTTGATTCTTCTATCTCGATCATGCTTTCTAGCTTGTTAGATTTTTGGGAGGTCGTAATAGGAGTACGGGAAACTTAAAACATGTTTTATTGGGTGTTCTGCTATAATGATTTAGTGCATTAGCACTGTTAGAAACCTTCTGCTGTCGGTAGTAGTTGATATACGAGAACATTTCTTTTATACATGTATTATGAATTTATGTTAGCTTAAAAGCCTTTGTTCGTTTTGATAGTACAGCGACCTTGACAGTGCTTTGTTGGTCGGTTTGCAGAATTTCATGGCAGATGCTGGAGCACCGCAGCCAACACCAACTCCTGGCTCTGTGGACCAAGGTTATAACAACTATGCCACTCACGGTTCAGTTTATGCATCTCCCCCATCTAATCAAGGACACGCAGGACAGCACGGCGGCTATGGCTCAGTCTATGGCTCGCATTATGGGTACTAGACGGGAACCTCTACTAGGCTAAAATTGTTTATCTGTGTGAATTGGTCAATGACAAAATAGTTTCTTTAGGGCAGTTGTATCGTTGTACTGTGGGTTCACTTTTGAAACTTTGATTTTGAACTAGTTAATGTCAGATTTTCGGTGTTGATTAGGCTGGCTAACCGTAGGGTTGAACCGATTTACTCTGAACTTGCCTTGTTCTTAATTAATGGACATGCTCTTGTTAGTAGCTTGGCACATTGTTTTCCTGTTGATGCATTAAGGAGGACCCGACAGTCTTTAAGACTCTTAACATGTAGCAACTAGCATGGAAGAAAAAGTATCTGGGAAATGGCATAAAAATATGTTGGGTTTTTATCACATGGTTCCTGAGATTGATTAAATTTATCATTTTGATTTCTTACTTTCAAAATCAATCGATGTCATCCTTGACTTCACTATCCCACATCAATTTGGCCATTCCATTAAGATTTCGTTAACTATTTGGTTAATTTGTATGTGGGATCCACAAATCCAATGAAATGGTGACAAGTGGATTACACAAATTATTGCAAATGGTCCCCGACATTGATCCAATTCCTCAGTTTGGTCCATGCGTTTCAAAAATCGATAAATTTGACCTTGCTTTTAATACCACACATCAATTTAGTCCTTCGGTTAAAGTTTCGTCAATATTTCTTTTTGTCCCATTAATCCAATCATATGACGCCACATGAATTAACTATAAGATCTAAAACTAAGAGTAAAATAAGAAACTAAAAACCAAAACTAAAAGAAAAAAAAGTCATTTTCGTCTACATGAAGGGTAAGGGTATGCTCAAAAAGAAAAGGAAGGCACCATGACACCACTAAAGTGTTAATGCGGAAAACTCGTCCGTTGGTTCACTCTTAAAAAAAAAGGTTCTTACAATTAATCTACATGAAGCCATATGATTAGATTAGTTGGACCACATCAGCACACAAACAAAAAATATTGATAAAATTTTAACGGAATGACTAAATTTATGTGCGGTAGTAAAAGTCAAGGACCAAATTTATCGATTTTTGAAACTTAGGAACCATTTGCGATAAAAAAAAAACCTTAATTTGTGTGATCCACGTGTCACCATTTCATTGGATTTGTGGGCCAAATATACAAACTAACAGAATAGTTGACAGAATTTTAACAAAAATACCAAATTGATGTGGGGTAGTACATGTCAGGACGACATCGATTGATTTTGAAAGTGAGGGACCAAAATGATGAATTTGATTAATCTCAAGGACCATTTGTGATAAAACCCCAAATTTGTTTTATGTTGAAATACGATGTCTAGTTTCTACAAAATTTTGTTAAAATACTGACTTTTTATCGTTTCAGCAATGACCCCTCAATTAAAATTCATGACCATTGGTCTCTTAACTTATCAAAATGTGCAGTTATGGCCTTTTTTGTCAACTCCGTTAGAACTTCTATCAAAATGAGTCACGTGCTACGCACATAGCGCTGAATCAAGAGGCAAACATGAAAAACTAAATGTGAAAAATTGTAGCAATGGTCTCTCAACGTTAACCAATTGAAGATTTGTTCCGTCAACTTTTACCTAATTGGAGCAATTGCCTTAACTTTAACTTAATTGTAACACTAGTCTTTTGAACACAACTCATTTTGACAAAATTCTAATGGAGGTAACGAAAATGACCATAACTACATGTTTTGATGAGTTAAGGGACCAATGGTCATGAATTTTTAGTTAAGGAACCATTGCTCCAATTGGATTAAAGTTGAGAAACCATTGCTACAATTTTCTCAATAAAATATTAAGTTAGAAATGGAATTTCGTCAACCTTGGCATCTTTGTAATATTGGGGAATGCTAGCTACTTTACCCTGTTGGAGAGTATTTTTATTTACCATAATCTATAGTATATGCTCACTATCAACTTCATGGCTTGACATTTGTCCACTAACATAACTATAGTTAAACCATTTATTTTTATTTGATAAAAAAAACATTTATATTTAATTTTTTGGCAACTTTCCACATATTGTTTCTTATGTTGACCTATCTATCAAGACAGTGTACCACTTATGTCTCGGGCACAATAAAAAATTTCTTCACAATCTGGACAATTTTTTCTTTTTTGCCTCTTCGTCTTCCCATCTTCTCCAACATATTGGCGCCGCAGATTGGAAGCCAATCCGCAACTAAGCAACCACAACAACCCATTTATGTCTATTACAAACGCAGAAGGCACGTATGAATGTGAAGTTGGATTGATGTTGAATTGAGATGCAATTGAAAATAAAATTTGGCTAACTTTTAGTTTATTTTTGTTTTTTGGGTAAGCAACTATGAATTTGAAAATAAGAAGCAAGCAAGGCATATAATAACAAAACAAAAAATTAGGTGCAATTTAACTGCAACAAAACTCAACGTGTAATTTAATCTGCAACAAATAACAAGATATTTGTTATTGGTTCTTGATTTTGGTAATCAAAAGAATTTGGTAGTTGTGGGTTGTGATTTGGATTCGTGGGGTGATACTTTGGGAAGAAGACGGAAAGGATTGTCCATAATTTTTGAAGATGCAGCTAGCAAAAGCGGGGTACATATGGAAAATGGTTGCCAAATTGTGTTTCTCTCCTTCGTAATGATAAAGAGAATTAAATTAAATTATTTAACCATGATTATGTTAGTGGATATATGTCAAGCTCTAAAAGATATGATCAGCATAAATCGTAGTTTATAGTGATGAACAAATAGGTAATATTAGGGAGACTAAATGTTTGAACCAAGTGACGTGGTTGATTATTGGATTATTACTTAAATGTTGATAACGTGCTTATTTCCTATTGATGACACATAATTTTATTTGCAAATTATATGCCTAGCATTATCCTTTTTGAAAATGCAACCAGCAAAAGCGGGTATGTACATATGGAAAGTGGTTGTAAAAAAGAAACAAAAATAAATTATCTAACCATGATTATGTTAGTGAAGATAAAGTGGCGAACAAAATTGCTCGCTTCCCTCTTGCCTTTCTCCTTGGAATGCTTATTTTCCTTTCATAATATTCCTTGTGTTATTTGGTAGATGAACACATTGAATAGGTTGGTTGTTTCCCACCACAGATCCATGGTGCTTGTTTTAGACTTTGGACTATAAAAACAATGGATTATTATATTAGTATTCATCATTATTTTTTAAGGTTGCCAATTTGGAAGAGCTAGGGTTTCTGTATGTGCAAAAGTTTCATTCTTCAAGTCACCATCCTAGATTCTCTGTGTTTTTTGCCTAAACTTTTCATTTCTTTTGGAAGCTAACTAATTAGTTAAGCTTTGATATAATATTAATAAATAGTTGGCCAACATATTACATTATTCCTTCAAATGCTAGCTGCTTAGTGCTGTATATATTAGTTGTGTTTGAAGCAGGATTTTAATTTCAAACCCAAAGACAATTGGAGCTGAAATAACGTGAGAATATTTTCCAAACGTCACATCCTTAATAAAAAAATAATGAGAAAGAAGTTCTTCCTTCATTAGGAATCTAAATCAAACTTCTCCCTTTATTTATGCGGAAAAATCAATTACTGTCCACACAAGGAACTTTCTCCTTAAATTTTCATTCATGCATGCAGACTATAAATATCGACCTCTCTAGCTTTCAATTACAACTTAACATTAGAAATTGGCTTCAGTCATCACATCTTTTCTGTCACTAACCCTTTGTTTTTTGGTAGTTCCGTCGTTCATCTTTCCAAAACTTGCTCCGACTTCGAATTTCTTACATATATCAATGGGAAATAGTGAAGCAAAACAGCAAGAACGCCGCAAGCATTTCGAATTTCCGGCCTCTCATTCTCCAAACACTTCACATCTGAGCCATGATCATACTCGCTATTCGAATAGTATCCAGGTCAAACCAACTAATGCGTCTGGAGCTGAAGATGCGCAGATTGGAACGGCACAAGTGCAAAAGGGAGAGATGAATTTGGAAGACAATGATGCATTTTCTGACTACATTAACCGCATGAAATTTAAGATCAGAGCTACGACCTCCAATATTGATCCCGAGAATGATGCATCCACAGCAGATGGTGTTTATGAAACAAAGCAAGAAGATAATGAGTATGAAATGTTTACGGATTTTGTCAACCACTCTAAGTTTAAGATTAGAAAGACATCCAGCATCGGAAGTAGAAACAACATCTCCTTTAAGAAGTAGGAGACTCAAATTCTGCAACCATATGTGTTCTGGTGATTACCGGCATGTTTATGGATTGTGTTCTCCCTCTTTAATTCTTTATCATATTTACGTCCTGGATACACAGGTTATGTAATGTTGTTGATAATACAACGTGTATGTATTTCTCAGTCAATAATATTAAATCAATCTTTTTTCATGTGTTTCTGGATCCCATTCTAAATATGCTGTTTTCGAGCAATCTTAGCGAACGCAGGTAACGATGATGTTAGAATGAAAAAATATCTCATCAGTTTACCCACTTAATTAGGTATCTTTAATACATACGCCTATAAATCATAGGACAGAGATGAGGAGATCCATCCATGAGAGGGTGACAATTGCTCTGAGATGATAGCTTGTAGGTTCCATCTTAGGACTGCTACTGTAAGGTTTCCTAAAGGAGTAATGACACGATGATTGGCATACGGTTACTTGGAAAACATCTTTCTAGAAAGAAAATCTTCTCTGTGGAATAAAGTTAAAATGTCTTTTGCCCTTTCACAATTTTCCATGCGTTTTCTAGATCACAGAATTTACCCATTTAGTAGATATTGTTTGTTGAGAACAACAAATTTAATGGACATGCTCTCATTATTAGCTTGGCACATTGTTTTCCAGTTGATGCGTTCAGGAGATAGTCGTTACAGTTTTAGCATGTAGCATACTAGCATGGAAGAAAAAGTACAAAAAAATGCATCTAGAAAATCACATTAAGATATGTTTTATGTTGAAATACGATGTCAAGTATTTGCAAGGTTATGTTAGAATATGAATTTTTATCATCTATTGAGTCTTAAAAGGATGACCCAAGCCAACAAGGCTCCGCTTTACGAGGATTAGGGGAGGAACCTCTATCGTACATAGCCCTATCCTTACTTTGCAAAGAGGTTATTTCCATAACTCAAAACCGTGATCTTTTGGTCACAAAGAAGCAACCCTTCCGCTACGCCTACTTGACAAATAAAAGAATCGATAAAAAAAATACTAGCAAGTTAGTC